ATTATCTATGTGCTACTAGAACATTGAGATTATCAAATCAATAACGAGCAAAATCTTTGCCAATCATAAGTATGTCATCACTTGATTCTGGCACTTCCTTGAAGTTTGTAAAACCTATTCTGTAAATCTTGTATTTTCTCCTGCAGTCCAAACGTGTTCAAAGATAAGAAATACATATGAAATTTGTTTAATCATATATTCATGTACATATATTCCAATCAATTACCATAGATATATGTATCAATACAAAGTTATAGTAATAATATTCCTTTTTATGACACTGGCTTATGGATGTTCCAATATCACCATGGTGAATACATCAAGAAAATAAAGACAGTTCTTGAAGTCGGTCATAACTAGTTCATAGTCAAACAACTACACAGTTTCCAAACATAACAGTATTGACAAGCAACAGTAGTTATAAACAACAGACCCCATTAGTGAAAAAAAAAAGCTGCAAAAAATACAGTCCAAAACACAACCATTTCAACAGTTGCTTGTAACCTCTGCATGACACAACTCTGTGGCTCACATGGTAAGGTGTTCACCTGTTTAAATTAACCCAGTTGCCTTGAACAAAACAATTAACCAATATAAAACAGGTAACTACATCATCCACAATGTTTCTAATTATTAAAAAATGAATGTAAAAAGTTTGACGAAAGTGTAACCCGTAGATAAGCCAACCCTATCTACAGACTGCAATATTTGGTCCTCAAAATTCAGCTTATCTGTGGTATTATACAGTACAAAATTTAGATCATTGTTGCCATACACAACAATTGAATTTCAAAGTTTCAACTCTGAATCTTATATACCTTCTGACAAGATATTTTTCCTGATGCTCCACTCATATGATTCACAAACAAAAAACAATAAAAACTGAAAAATAAACATAAAACCTTTACAAAAAACAACAATGAAAAATAGCCCACTGACTTAAAGAAACTATGATGTAATCAAAAGCAGAATCATGCATCCTACTTTCCTAGTCAGACAACTTAAGGGACCGTTCATAATTTATGCTTGGTGGGGTGATGATGATGTTAAGGAGGGGCACCCATTTTGTCCTGGGGGGTGGGGGTGGGGGTGTCATCAATTTTGTACACATGTACTAGGGGGTCATCAATTTTGTACATAAATATATTTTTAAATTATGCTTAAAAATATGGGGAAGGAGGTCATTGACTTTGTACATAATATAGCAGGGGTCACTTACTTTGTACATAGATATTAGGGGTCTTTGTACATGCTTCTCCATCAAATTCATCATCTCTCTCTCAGTCACATTGCGCATGCTTCTCCATCACACAATCACACACACACACACTCACACACACACACACACACACACACACACACACACACGCGCGCACACACACACACACACACCAGCCAAAAAATTATGAACGGTCCCTAAGAGATGTTTGCACGGCAAAATGTATATGAGAGAATTAAGATCACTACAGTACATTTTTACTGGCTTAATGAAAAAAGGTTTCAAATACAGCAACCATGATGACTATCAGTGTATAAAATATAGCCCCTCCCAATGTCCTTGACGGTCTATTTTTGTGAAGGATGGTCCATTAAATAAGTAAGGCCGTCCTTTGGTCAGGGGAAATATTTGAAAAAATAAACTTGGTTTGAACTTCATCTTAGTAATCATGTTATTTCTCATTGGGACTGGCTCTGTTTGTTCAGGACCGGTCACTTTTTTGGACAGCCAGTCCGTGGACAGGCCACATTTCAAAACTATTTTATACACTGTGTCCATATTGATAATTGGTTTCAAAACTCTTGATGGAAATTAAGTTGTCATACTTGGTGAGAACAAACATGTGAAGTTTGAGTTTCGAGGGTTCAATGGCCCCGGAAGAAATGATAGTAGCATTGCAAGGAAATGCATTTTGTGACAGGTAAAACGCATGGCACAAAAACAAAATTCAACATATAATGAATAATGGAACATAAACACTGAGCCCCACTGATAACTATCATATATAACATTTCAAAAACAAAATACCTCGTAAAGACCACATGTTTCAGCTGTGTGCAATGAGTGAGTGAGTATGGTTTTATGACAGTGCCACATGTAACTCACAGCATGTGATGCCCGGCTTCCCCAGGGGACACAACCAAATTGCGATGACTGGGTGACCTGTTCCCATTTCATAATTACCAGGTAGTGAGGAGTTTGGTTTTACACCGCTTTTAGCAATATTCCTGCAATATCACTGCGGGGGACACCAGAAATAGGCTTCCCACATTGTACCGATAATTACCAGGTAGTGAGTGAGTGAGTAAGTATGGTTAAAGTCCCTGTTAATGATATAGCGAGGCTGAGCTTAAAATGCTAGGCTACCCAATATCCGATCAACCGCGTCTCCATCCCTTGACATGTATATATATCCTTCCATTATTCAACTGCATCTATTATGTAAGTTGCCCTCGGTCTGTTGTGGAATTGAAGTGTAAATCTCACAGAAACTAATTTAATATCAATAACGAATACATGACAAACATTATTTTCTTAATGACCCACATAACTAAAATCCTTGTTAACTTTGTACTGACTGACTGACTGAGTTTTGGTTTTACGCCGCTTTTAGCAATATTCCAGCAACATCATGGCGGGGGACACCAGAAATTGGCTTCACACATTGTACCCATGTGGGGATTCGAACCCGGGTCCTTGGTGAGGAGCCAGCGCTTTAACCTCTAGCCTACCCCTTGTTAACTTTGTAAGATGGTGGCACACCTAACTTCGCAGCATATGATGACAATGCACTCTTAACAGTATTAGCATTAAAACTTCTCGGGTCAAAGCCAGAATAAATACTCCAACCCAAGCTTATAGGATCCTGGCTTCCCCAAGGGACACAACCAAATTGCAGTGCCTTAGGTGACTGGGTGACCTGTTCCCATTTCATAATTACCAGGTAGTGAGTGAGTGAGTATGGTTTTATGACACTTTTAGCAATATACCAGCAATATCACGGCATGGGACACCAGAGATATGACCCATGTGAGTAATCGAAAAGTGGGTCCTCGGTGCGACAAGCTAACACTTTAACCACTTATTTAAGCTACCCCGACGCCCCTTCAGCTGTGGTCAAAGTGGAAAAGTCAAATCAAACCCCATATTGTAAAGAACATTAAAACAGACAATAACAAATAGGTTAAGCCCACGGTTATCTTTGCCTGTCACGGAGTAATGATTTTTTCAATATTGATGCTGGATCCTCTTTGGTGTTAATATATGTGGGAACAAGCATCTCATTTCTGCTTCATTGGTCAAGTGGTTTCAGTGGAGAGGATGTTTACAATGGATGACTCGACTTTTGAATATGTCCACTGGAAGCTATATCTGACTTAACATCAAGATGACTTGATGAAACTAGGAACTACACAAGGTGGTAAGACTTCCGCACATATCCATCCTAAATTTTAATGAGGAATAATTTCTTTGAGTGGCCTTTTAAGAAGTTGGTTATGCCTTTCATTATTCGAGATACAATTAAAGAAACATGTTAAAACTAATCAGTATTAATACTAATCCTTATCAGATGAGGAATATATATTCAGGTGATATGATTTGACTAGAATGAAATTTAAGGGGGATATGGGCGGAAGTCTTTCCCACAAGGTGACCAAGCTTCATGCCTCTGTCCTTTATAGGTTTTAGAAGTACATTTGTTATTGAACCTCCCTTGTTATACAGTCACAAACATACACAAAATTTCAACTGCATCCAGCAACCTTTAACACTGACTGATTGCCTGAGTTTAGTTTCAGCGCCGCTTTGAGCAATATTCCAGCAATATCATGGCGGGACACACCAGAAATGGGCTTAACACATTGTGCCCATGTGGGGAATCGAACCGGATCCTCGGCTTGAACGAGCCAACGCTTTAACCACTTGGCTACCCCACAGCCCTTTAACACTGACAGATGACTGGCATCATCATAAGTGCAATATGGCATTTCAGGTCATGATAGCTAAAGCGCTGAACACTGTCAGACAGTTGATTCTGAACAAATGCTTGTTTATAAACTTAGGCGTGTGACAAATAATAAATAGTCTTCATAAATAATCTGCAAATCTGCTACTAATATTGTTTGGCCACACACTCTGCATCTGGTGGCTCCTGTTTTATTTGTATGTCAGAGTCCTCTTCAATGATTCTCTGACCTTTCACCCTTGACTGGGTTCTGTCTACCACTTCAATGTCACTCTCACAGCTTTGAGTTTCTGTCTCAGCACAACAACTCCCTCCCTTGCCAGTATTCTCCTCCTCGTCCATGCTTTCGTCTGCACTACCTATTCCTCCTTCCTCGTCCACATCTATTTTCTTCCTCTCTGGCAGAGATCACCTTCATCCCTCCATTCTTTCTGTCTTCCTGTTTGACTTTATCATCATCGCCAGCTGCTGAAGCCTTCATTCCATCCATCTTGGTGGCACTCTCCTCACTCATCATCATGCGAGCCATAATCATTAGCCATGTTTTCTTCATTGATTTGATCTCGATGGACCCTTGTATGTGCGTTGAGGTGCCGGCTGTCGTGCAAGCAGCGGTCACAGAATCTACACTTATGCGGCTTCTCTCCTGTATGTGTGCGGACATGTAGGCGAAGGGATGCTGGATCCATAAAAAACCTTTGCACAGAAATCGCACATAAAAGGTCTCTCATCTGAATGACTGATCAGGTGACGTTTCAGTGAACTTGACTGGGCGAACTCCTTAAAACACTGGTCACATTTAAACGGCCTTTCGCCAGTGTGGACTCGTATATGTTCATGAACTTGCGCAAAGTGTACAAATGTTTTTCGACAGTGATTACATTGGTACTTGCGTTCTCCCTCGATTTCTGTCCAGTGTTCGGATGGTTCATGAACTATTTTAGGTCTACCGCCCTTATGGCGGTCCATCACACTGCCTGTATCCCGCAACCGTTTCTCAAACCTCCAGATGACCGAGAAGGATACATTCATGATTCTGGAAACCTGTTGTGCCGAGATGTCCCATTCTGTAGGAGAGCTCGGACCTTTTCTCTGTCATCCATGGACAGCCTTCTCCTGCTTGACTTAACTGCGTGGTGTTTTACATGGTTCTGGATCCACAGAGAATGTCACCTCTGGTTCCTTCAGTTGGACTTCATGGGATTCTTCTTCAGACATTGTGTTTTCAGTGCTCATCTCTGAAACAAACATGGACAGCAAAGGCATTTTCAAGGATGTTTCTGAAAACATTAGACAGTCAGCTCTCACCTCTAAAACAGATTAAGGTTTTTCCCAGGTTGTTTTGTTTCTAATATACACATGGAAAAACTGATGTTTTAGTCCCCATTTATATTTGTATCATAATTACGTTTGTTTGAATGATTATTTTTCAGGCTTCAGGGTACCATACATGATTTTAGATATGCATGTGCTACAATCAAAGGCTAGCCTTACATGCAATAGGTGAGTGAGGTATGATTATAGGCCACTTTAAGCAATATTCCATCAATATCACGGCAGGGGACACTGAAAATGGGCTTCACACATTGTACCCATGTGGGGAATTGAACCCAGGTCTTCTATGTCATGAGCGGACGCTTTAACCATTAGCTACCCCACCGGCCCATTTAGTCTGAGAAATGAAGTAATCTTATTTAAAAAAAACAAAAGAATATAAAGATAATTCTTGTCACAGACTACTGCAATATTTCTTGAATATTGCGAAGAATCTTACAACAAACAATTAGAGACCCCCAAAGAACCTGGCACTCTGTGCATGTCAATATTTTCTGGTTCAAACAACACAGAGTGGGCAGGGGAAGCTTAGTGGTGAAGCATTAAGCTCGTCATGCCAAGAACCTGATTGGATTCCCCATATGGTACAAAGTGAAAAACCATTTCTGGTGTCCCCAGCTGCGATGATATTGCTGAAGTACTGCTAAAAAAACAGCGTAAAACTTAACTCCACTCTCCAAAGAACACTCAAGACTTCAGCTATAAATTTGAATGATGAGTAGCGGGAGTTAGGTTTTACGCTGCACTCAGCAATATTCCAACTATATGGCAGTGGTCTGTAAATATGTCGAGTCTGGACCAGACAATCCAGTGATCAACAGCATGAGTATCAATGTACACAATTGGGATGCGATGACATGTGTCGCCCAATTCAACAAGCCAGACCACCTGATCCTGTTAGTTGCCTCTTACAACAAGCATGGGTTACTGAAGATCATCGTCACAATATGGCTGAAATATTGCCGATGTGGCGTTAAATATTAAGAATTACTCACTCACTGAAGATCAATTCTAACTTTTGATGGATATTTCATGGTGGAATGATGAAAGGGACTGTTCATAATTAATAGCTAGTTGGGGGATGATGATTTTTATGGAGAAACATGTACAATATGAATGATCCCCACCCTAAAATTTATGTACAAAGTCAGGACCCCTGCTTTTCATGAACAAAATTGTTGACGCAGCCTCCCCTAGTACATATATGTACCAAAACTTAGGCTTAACTTAGGCGTTTCTATTTCTCGGATTACACTGTGCATACCTTGCGGTTCTTGTTTAATCTGGACACACATCTTCACTCATCCCACTGACTGTCTCCCCTTTCCTTGCCTAAAAGCTGGTGTGATCCATCACTGGGGGCCATCTCTTGGTGCATCACATGGTGCATCCATTGCTCACTGTGAGAACGATCATCTATTTCTTCTTGCCTGTCTTCATGTGCATCTATTCCTTCTCCCTCCCTACTTTCCATATCTATTCCATCTTCCTCCCTCAGTGCACTTATCATGTGTTCCTTCCTGCCTACACATGGATCCATGCTTTCATCATCATCATCACCATCATCTTTGCCTTCATCATCATCATCATCATCATCGCCGTCATTCTCACTGCCTAAAACATCTTCCTCACTGGTCATACCTTTATCATCCCCTCCCACCTGTTTCATTCCCCATTCATTTTCGTTCCTTCCTTCCTTTGTTTCGGTCATCTTGATTCGAGTCAAATTCGTTTCAGTCATCATGCCCTGGGCCCTGCTCTCATTGTTGTATTGGTTTCGGTGTACCCTCATGTGGGCATTGAGGTTCCCGGCTGTCGTGCAACGACGGTCACAGAATCTACACTTATGCGGCTTCTCTCCTGTATATAATGTAATGCGGACATGTAGACGAAGGGATGCTGGATCCGCAAAACACTTCGCACAGAAATCGCACATAAAAGGTCTCTCCTTTGAATGACTAATAAGGTGACGTTTCAACGCACTTGACTGAGCAAATTCTTTGAAACACTGGTCACATTTAAACGGCCTTTCCCCAGTATGAACTCTTATATGTTCATGAATTTGTGAAAAGTACACAAAAGTCTTTTGACAATGTGTGCACTGATACTTGCGTTCTCCGCCGATGTCAATCCAGTGTTCTGTGGGGGCACGGATTTTTTTAGCCCTGCGTCCCTTGTGCCTGTCTTCAACTCCACCTGTTTCTTTCAGTCGTTTCTCAAACCTCCAAATCACTGAGGAAGACACGTTCATGTGCTTGGCAATCTGTCGTTGAGTTAAACCTTCTTGAAGGAGAGCCCTGATTTTTTCTCTACTTTCCATAGACAGTTTTTTCCTGCTTGCTTTGTCATTCAGGGTTTTACTGGACATTCCCATGTCTGCATCCTCTGCTTCCTCCAGTTTGTCATCGTCTCGGCACACTTCTTGGTCTGTGGCCATGTCTGTAAAAGAAAATAGAAAATAGGTCCACACCCTTCTTTATTTGGTGACATACAGATTTTATCGTGATGAAATGCATGGTATTATTCACTACTTACAAACCAACCAATAAGACATAACATTAAAAGAGGCTTGCCGAGGGTATTTTTTACTTTTATCAATGAGTGTTGATATATTTGATATCAGAAGACACGAGGGTGAGATTCTATTTACCATCACAAATCACTCTTCATTAGTTTTCAATGAAAAGTATACATCTCTGAACACGGTACTGCCATTAGACTTTCAGTGCAGCGATGTCATAGCATTATGACATCATCAATTTTACGACATCAGAGCATTGTGAGTCCTGTAATTGATGACGTCAGGGCATTGTACAAAATCTACTGTCAAAATGATATCTTTTAGGAGCCAGGATATACAAGCAATATCTCCAGTGGTATACAGTTTTGGATGAGAAACAGATAGATTTTATGTTGGGTTGGGTGGGTTGGGTTTTGTGTTTGTTGTTAATATGATGAAGGCTGTCATCAGCAGTAAGAGAGCAGCTTGTAAATAATTGAATCTGGACCACACAATCCAGTGACTGATATCAAGAGCAATGATGTACACATTCAGGCATAATGACAAGTGTTTAACCAAGTCAGATAAAAATTATCCATCAACTACCAGTTTTCTTACCTTGAATTACCATGGGAATTAGGCTGATATGAATAAAGAAAATAGTTCTTGTGTACTGTATCTCATCAAGATGTGTAGCGAACAGTTTAAAACATTAACAAAGAGAAGCACTGAACAAATTAGCTTATGGATATGAGTACATGACATGTTTTATGGATAACAACTTCTCTTTTGTTCTTTATACGTTTCAGAGCTAATTCTTGATCCTTCATCCTTCATCACCTGATGAAAGAGCAAGAATTAGCTCTGAAACGTCACATAAAGAATAAAAAAGAAGTTGTTATCCATAAAACATGTCATGTATTCATGTTCATCCAACTTTTAAATGCCTTTCAAATAATTCATTTTATGGATAGTCAAATATTTTTTTCAAAAATACTAAGGATTGAAAACTGAAAAAAATATAGGACATCTTATTTAGAAACTCGCGTGATATGAGTGTCTACTGAGATTATGATCCAGTGAAGAGAGCATCAAATGATGATGGCACCCAGTGAAAAGAATATTGACAGCAGCCCATGAAGAGATTATTCACTGACTGGGGCGGTGGAATAGCCTAGTGGTAAAAGCAATCACTCGTCACATTGAAGACCCGGGTTTGATCCCCACATGGGTACAATTTGTGATGCCCATTTCTCGTGTCCCCCGCCACTAAAAGCAGCGTAAAACTAAACTCACACACTCACTGATAAGACTATGGACTGATAGGGGCTGCCGTGATATTGAGACAGGATTACAACCAGAGTTGGGGGAACTTAATTTACCACTGAAATAATTGTGAGATATATTGAAGTCAATCAATGTTGATATGATAATAATGAGTGTTTTGAGAGTGTATCACCACTTGCACTTCCTTATGACCGTAGTTGTTTGTACAGTAATCGCTCTTGAAAGATGACTGGTGTATGATGTGAAATTTGCATGTGTACAATTTTCATTTTCAACCCAAAAAAAATTGCAAGAAACAAACACTAAGAACTGTGTGATGCAAGATGATTGTCAAAATTAATGGTATACAGTGGTTTATCGACTTTCTTGAAAACTGTCAAAATCAAGAATGACACCCCATACACGTGCATGGGGCTATTGTGTTATGGACATGCATCCCATGCGTTGTGTTTAGGGGTGGTGATAAAGGGAAATGGTGGTGCGTTCATAAGACGTCTGTCTTTGAAAAGTTTGTTAACGTTTATACTTCGTATCCAAATTGAAAGTTTAGGTTATCTTACTTTTTTAAAGAGTATATTAAAACATATGTACTATGCAGGCAGAATGTAATGCCCCCGTCTGCAAAATCATGGCGACTCGTGAAGATCCGGGGTAGAATAGGTCTTCAGCAACCCATGCTTGCCACAAAAGGCGACTGTGCTTGTCGTAAGAGGCGTCTAACAGGATCGGGTAGTCAGATTCGCTGACTTGGTTGACTATGTCATCGGTTCCCATTTGTGCAGATCGATGCTCATGCTGTTGATCACTGGATTGTCTGGTCCAGACTCGATTATTTACAGACCGCCGCCATATAGCTGGAATATTGCTGAGTGTGGCGTAAAATTAAACTCATTCACTCACTCACTCAATAACATGGCATGGGCCGAAAAAAAGCAGTGGTTGTTTGTGAAGAATGTACCAATATTAATAAAGCACAATGACAGATCCGGCTGATCCATTTACCTCAATCAGCTCTTATGACAAGCAGTAGGTTACTTCAGATCAAGCTCAACATACAAGCAGAGTTGCAATGCACAAATATCTATTAAATGCACCATTAATGCAATAAACTACAAAAATTTGCAACTATACACAAATAGCAACTTCAAAATTTACAAACCCTTTCTCGTCATCTGACTTCACATAAAAAAAGGTCATAAAATAAATCTCTATATACATTCTGTATTGTCACAAAAACATGTGAATCAACTGTTAAGCTGAATATTGAATGTCAGCAAGAAAGTGAAAATGATTTCAGGCATAATTCTCAGGGGAATGAAATTGTTTTCTATATGTCAAGATTTTTCTCGAAAATATACCATAACATTTTTCACCCTGTTGATAAAACGAATACATCAACCTAGCTGGGCCTGATGTTTTATGGGCATTGCAACAGCTTAGGTATAGCCTACCTGTCTGCTTACCTACCTACCTGCCTGCTTACCTGTAGTCAAAGTTACCTTGCACTGGTGGCAGCAAACGGAATATAAGTGGGCGTGGCTGTTATTATGAGACGGACAACAGTTTTCTGGTGTCAGCAACTTAACAAACTGTGGAATATGTTTGTTCACGCGTCTGACATTTGCTGAACTGGTTTCTTATATTCGTTGCGCTGAACATTTTACAACATGCCAATGAGGTCTAATACGCATGTGCAATTACGCCAGACATTAAAATGTGAGGCCGGCATGTTCTCATGGTGCACACACTGCAGAAAGTAAACTGCATTATATATTACTTCGCTACAACTTGATTGATCCTAGCTGTAGAATATATGACAAGTTTACGATACTACCTTGGAGGAGTAAATGTGGTGAGCCAATAGAATTACGTAATAATCGACACAGACTGCTGTCTGTGAATAATGATTGCCCAGATCCTGTTGTTTATGATTGTGATCGTCAGGCCATCCATCCGAATATTTTTTTCTAAGGGAGGTAAGCTATAAAAAATGTCAAATTGTCATGGAATACCGCTAATGGGCTTACGTGTGCGTCATTCTCATCAACTGGAAGCGTTTGTGTACGAAAGTTGTACATGGCCCCAACTTCGGTAAAGAAAAATTTTCTGGCGCTAAACAGTTTCAATTGACATCTAGAATATAAATGTTGTAGATATGTTTGTGCCGTCGGAAGGGATCAATATTTTACATGTGCTTCGTTTTTGTACAGTACTATGTCGTTCCTCTGGCGTTACTTTTGGTTGGTTGGTTTGTTCTGAGAATGCATATGGTCTCTGATTTGTTGTTGATCAGCCTGATATGACTGCTGTCTGTGAATAATCGAGCTGACCATGACTATGAACACAATGATTCAGCTGATCTGTTGTTGCGACGATGACCAACCACGACCGAAATCAAATGGGCCGAAGGGCAAAAGGGCCGAGAAGGGCCGAGAAGTGCCAAGTCAAAAGGGCCGAGAGGAAAGTCAAAAGGGCTTTATTCCTAGTCATATGGGCCGAACAGAAACAAAGTTTAGAAAGGTTTTACATTATTTATTGACACATATAGCATTGAAACATAATATCATCATAACATTAATGAAAGGTAAGAAGGTAACAACTACATAGTTGGTTGTTTTTTCTGTTGACATGATTCTGTTGGCAGAAATAATTTATAGTTTGTGTTTTGTTGTTATTAGCTGTTTGGACGAGAGAATTTAGTTGTTGTTGTGTTATTGTAGGGTCTAGTTGTATAACACCTTCTATTTGTTGAGTCCAGTTAGGTGTTACAACTTTAACTGGAATATTGATTTTGTTTTGCTTTGTAGTTTGGTTCATAAGCTTTTTATGTGAAATGGATGAGATGTCCATGTCATTAGAAGTGAGTTCATTAGTTAAGAGTCGAGATACTTTACAATAAAAATGTTAAGACTCCCATGTTTTAATTAGATTTGGATTAAAAACTTAGATCAAAAACAAACATTCCGTACAGATTAGTCATGACACAATGACAACATTTGAGTCTCATGTTCAAATTCCATTGAAAATAACAATAACAACTAATCACTATTTACACTATTTTACTATGTAAGTTATTACATTTAATTTTTCGGCCTGTTTTACTTTTCATTTCAACCCATTTGACTTTTTAGCCTCGGCCCTTTTGACTACAACCCACCACGACAGTGAGCCTGACCATCCGATCCCTTTAGTCGACTCTTACGACAAGCCTGGGTTGGTGAAAACCAGAGTTACTGCGCGCCAGATTCTATATTAACGTTTTTTACTGCGCCATGGGAAAAACAATCTCACTTGAGTGACACAGCTGTTCCGACAGCAAATCAAGCCATTCCATTTTATCAAAAGGCGAGAGCCCGATAAATAAATACGGTGGTCTGACATCACCATTTCTCTAACAAACAAAACCAGACTTTGCGCTGGCACAGCTTCGCGATGCATCCCACATCAAACGCCAAAGCCCACCATCAACCGGACGGATACTTCATTCCGTCGCCTGCGGTACACTCATCCGCAGGCAAATCTGCTGTATAAACTTACTGCTGTATAAATGTCATTATCGCTTGTACATCGTGGCTTCTACGCTTGTCGCTGTCTACTTTCGGCTGTCGGCTGCACAGCCTTCTGCCTAGCTAATTGCATGTTAATTATGTTGTTTTCTTTGTCACGTGTTACATCCAGTATATATACACTTCCCCTTCTTCATCCCATTAGCGTGGCGGTACAAGAATCTGTATCGAGGCGATAACCCTCACCAAGGCAAAAGAGTTTGGTATCCCTCAAAGTTTGTTGTTCCTCAATTGCACAATAGGTTAATTGTTTTTATCCACTTTCGTGTTTGGTGGTAGGTTGCACTGTATTCTTATAAATTCTCAATACCTAAACTGTCTGTTCAAGGCATCTGTGTAACTGGTGGCAGGTATGATTCATGGTATCAGATGTTTATGGAAGTAGCTATATTACATCTAGATATTGTTTCATCCGTGAAGCAGTTTCAAATTGTTTGGAATTCAAGCTGTGTAAGCGTGGCGCGTGAAGCCAGTCTGGACAGGGCAATCCAGTGATCAACAACACTTGGGCATCAATCTATGCAATTGGAATATGATGACATGTATCAACCAAGTCAGAGGGAACTGACCACCCGATCCCTTTAGTCACCTCTTATGACAACATGGGTTTGCTGAGGATTTTCCCCATATCGGCAATTGTAAAGGAATACAAACACAACATATATGATATATTTGGGATGTTGTATTCAATAATAGTTGGAGCTATTTTACGGTAGATCTTTTACTAAAAATAATGCCTGAATGCATGGAAATCTGTGGGTTTACCTCAATAATAGGTCACCAAGGTCATCTTTGCGGTAAGTGTTGAGGGCTTCTAAATTCTCAGACAAACGCCATCAACGAGCAATAGGAAGTTCAAGAGATTTCATTGGTAAAGCTGTACTATCATAGTGTTGGATGTTTTATATATTGTGCCACACTAGTGGCATGGCCGAGGTATATTTATTGTGTTTTCTTAGCAAAAGATAAAATATCTGAATCAGCTGGGCTTCTTAAACAAGGCCGGTGCTGGAAGCTGCCACATCCGTTTAAGCGCAGGTGTTTTATCAGTGATACTGGATGAATTGTCAAAAGAAGGAATTACCTCATATATCTGTGAGATAACTCATCAGGTATAGATTTATTTTATATGACAAACATGTGTTACCATGGTGACCAGGAACCAATTATTATTTTTGGAATACTTGTGGAAGAGATTTACAACACACAACCTGGGACTGGAGGATGTTTAAAAAGCAATGTTTTGTCCAATGAAATTGGCCGAGATTCCTCCAAATGAGTGATGACATGAAACCTCCCCTTCATAGAGGAGGGTAATTAGTGGACCCTCAATATGGTTAAAATAGAATTTTAAGAATTGAGAACTGTCTAACTATTAACGAGCGTGGTTAGGGTTCAATGACGCAACAAATAATTCTGCAATATAACAATGGGGACATCGGAAAAAAGGGGCTTCACATGCCATACCCATGTAGGAGTCAGGCCGGATGGCATTTTAAAATTAGAATGCTTTACCACTGGGAGCTCACCCTGCTGTCCCTTTATTAATAGGAAATACATGTCTACAGTTACAATTTACAAATCAACTTATGGCTGCTGTTGATGGGGTACATGTTGATATATAAATCCTGATGGCAGGTATTCGAGGTTACGAAACCGGCTACGGTAACACAAATTAACTGTTTCATAACCGTGGTGTTGAATGTTCGCGCTTCTTTAAAACGCTCAAGGCAGTCACAACAAAGTGTTTTGGGCGTAAATACCAAAACCATGTTGGTGATCAGTTAATTATTTTTCAAGCCGGAACATTTTGCAATACATGTTGATATGTTATTGATTTACCGGCAGTGGTGAGTTTGGTTTTGGTTTGGCATGTCAACAAAGGCGTTTGGGGCGCAAAGTGGACCTCAGGTCTTTGGTGACGAGCGAACGCTTTAACCATTAGGCTACCCACCACGCCAATTAGAGGATCAGAATTTGACCAGCGCCGGCCGTGTATTAACAAAGTCGCCAGCCGCAGATTAAGCATCGCCATCAAAGTAATGCGAAAACGGGGCGGTGGTAAAACAAATGGGGGATGAACATAAATTTATGGCTGGGAGGGTGATGATGGTTTATGGAAAACATGCGAATTTGAATAGTCCCTCCAAAAGTTATCATGCCGAATCGTGGCTTTACACCTTTGGTGCAGCAGCAGGTTACTTAATGTTTTTGGTCCAGGTAGTGCACTACTCCGTTTACATGTGAACAAAATTGATGACGCACACCCATACCAGCCATGGAATTATGAATGGTCCTAATACTGCAGCAGTGTAGCGGACGCTGAAAGTATTTTGCTTTTCAGCCGGAATGTCCAGCAAATATGAAAATTCAGAATTCACTTGAAATTTTTACTCGCTCCAGTTTACAAAATGATTCTTGTCATTCGCGGTGGTAACAATATCTTGTTTCATTAAAGATCCTAAGCATTTGCGTCAGTGTGCATCACTCCCACAATGATAAGGATCAGTGTTTAAAAATGGTAGCTGCAATGAAATTTATCGATGGGAATAATAACAAATACGGGCTTGATTTAAATTGATAAAGGTGTTTCTTCTGTTTATTTATTTCCCGGAGCCATACCAAATGGAAGATTCACATCCAGCATATCTGCCGTGCTTTACAACTAATTGAGTGAGTTTAGTTTTTCGCCCGGCTTTTAGTATTATTCCAGCAATATCACGGCGGAACACCAGAAATGGGCTTCACACATTGTACCCTAGGTGGGGAATCGAGACCGAGGGTCTTCAGCGTGACCAGCAGGCAGCTTTAACCACTAAGGCTACCCACTGTCCCTGCTTTACAACTAAATGGATTGAAATATTGGCAATTCCACTAAAATTAATACCATGTTCGTACTCATAAATATCGACCGAAGCCTTGTATGGTACCGGCGATGAAACCGTTGTTTGCATGATTACTTTTGCAGTCATGGTTTTACTTGATTTTGAAAGAAACCCGTTGCATTGCTGAGACTCAAACCGCCGATTCATAAGAGGTCGCAACGGAATAAAGCACGGTGACCAGAAATATTTAACGAATAAGTGAGGACTCTGGCAGTCTTTCGGCTCTCTGCAAGGTCAGGGGCTTAAAAGAGTCTGTGGCTTTCAGGGGGATGGTGGACGAACAGAAATGCTGTGTGAGGGCCCTAAAAACACGCGGTTTTACCGTTTCCTGACCGACCCTAAATATTCCCGCGAATTCATTATAAATTACTCACCACATAAATAAATTATTTTCTGACACATGACTCCGCGATGAGTAATGTACAAAT